AGGGCAATAATTTTTTCTATTTCTGTAGGACTGTGGGGTTGTTATCGTGCTTTCAAGAGAGCCTAAATTATCGTATTAGCATGGAGAAATTCTTGTCTTGTTGTTATGTATTATGTGTAGTAGTTGCCTTTAGATTCTGTGTCCTATTGGAACATAATCTGTGACAAAATTGCCAAGAAGGCCATATACTAGAATTTTGAAGTAAATCATGTTGAGTTTTGCTCCAAGTACGGGGAGCAAACTCACAGGGTCTGCCAGGTCTCTCACACTGTTTAAAAAAAAAAAAATACCATTCATGTACAGTGAGTTGTTTGATAGTGAACCACCCCCCTCCCCTGTGATGCTACACCTATACGTGTAGCATCCTTGTACAAGAATTTTTTCGATAACCAATTCTGTTTGCAATTAGATGTATTTATGCCAACTACTTACAAGTCTCCTACCTAGATTGTGTTGGTTTGAAATTTATCATTCTTGTACACGCCACGTGTGTTAGTTTGGCTAATAAAAGAGTTGACGTAACAATTCATTAATAAATAACTAATAGTGTGTTTGATGGATATTATTGAGAAAAGAATGTATTTTAAATAGTGATATGAAGAGAAATATATGGTTAAAAAGTAAAGAAAAATTGTTGATGTGATGAAAAATGTTATTTTATTGAAGAATGTGTGATTGAAAATGAGTTTTGAAAGAATGTATTTTAATAAAATATGTGTCAAACACGGGCTAAACTGTCACGTTTATCTTCTTAAATTGAAACTAGATTAAAAGCCAAATACCTTGAATTTTTAAAAATAATATATTCCAAACAAGGGCTAATTGAATATTTTATTACCACCTAAATACTAAATTAAAAATTAATGTCATGCTATTTGTTCAAAGTATTCAATACGTGCTTATAAAATTCCTAACGGTCTTATGTTTTCGACAAAAGGAAAGCTTCCAAAACTTAAATTCCTATTCCCCCACGGATTAGCCATTAACCCCTATATGTACTTACATTATGGGAACTTTATCTCATTCAGTCGTCTCTCTCTCTCTCTCTAATTGCGT